ATTTTATAGTTCTAAAATTTCTATGTGGCTCTTTTTTATATTTTCTATTTCTTTGATAAAACTTTTTCATTTGTTTCAAGTGTTTGGAGTAACTCATTGACACATTTCTGTTATGGCTTAAAATCCTTGTCAAATAATTCTAACCTCTCCATTTATCTCAGTATTTGTATCTATCGTCATTTTTCATTCAGTGTGACATATTCCTGGTATGACAAGTAAATTCTTATTGAAACCAGAACATACTGGCATTGTGTTATGGCGCTCTAGAATTTATATTCTCTGCTTAAGAGGGGGAGGAGTGCTCATTAATGCTCCCCACGTGGTCTCTATCCAAGCCATGGGAAGGGGGTGTGCATATTGTAGCCTCACTACCTATGGGTAGTGGTGAAGTCTTGACTCTCTCCATTAATCCTCCTTTGATACAACCTGGGAGGATGAGGTAGAGGAATCTCATTGTTACTGATGGAGGTAGAAGCCCAGGTCCCAAAACATATTTTCCACTGCCACTGTTGGGAAGATCATATTACTGCCTGGAGGGGAAAAAAGCCCCCTTCCTTGTCTTTCTCTGATATAATCCCTGTAGGAAGGTCAGGGCACCTCATTACAGCCTATTGAGGATGGTAGTCAAGGCTCTTCATTCAGCTTTTACTGGTGTGGGTTAGACTACGACTTTTTGTGTGGTGTTTTTTTGGAGTAAACATCACTCTCAAACATCATGTAAACTTTTAGCCAGTTATTGTCTAAAAGTTTTCTGTCTTTCTAGACTGCCCCCTTCCTGGCTCTTTGCCTCGAGAAAACAAACTTTTATTGGACTTTATTTTGTCAGTCAGTGCCTATGATATTATCAGGTTGTTGAGTTTTTCAGCTCTTTGTCTAGAATATATGAGACAGAAAGAAAACCCAATGAATTTACTACCGTGTTGTTTCTTGGGTCCTGAAGTCCCTAGCTAGTCTGTCATTGTCTCTCCCCTTTCCAGCATCTTTTTAAAATTGTTGTTTGTTTTTCTGTTTTGTTTGTCTTTAGATATATAGTGTTCATGACTTTTAGCTTTACTTAGTGAGAAAAATAGAAGTCCATCTTCTCCATCTTTCCAGAAGTGGGGTTTTTAGCACGCTTAACATTTTAGGCTAGATAATTCTGTTTGGGAGAATTGTCCTGTGTGTGATAGAATATTTAGCAGCATCCATAGTCTCTTATCACTAGAAGCTGATAATCATCCCCAATATGACAGTCAAAAATGCCGCCTGATACTGACAAATATCCTTGGGGGGGGGGGCAGAAGGAAATTGTTCTTTGCTGAGATCTACCATTTTAGATTATAATCTTTTTGAGAATAAGGTTCATTCTTGTTGGTATCTGCATTCCTCCCAGCACATACCATAGAGATGTGTACAGCATAGGCATTTAACGTATTATCAACAGAATTGGATGGGTAGGAAGTATTTATCTAACCAACCTCTTCCACT